ATATGAATTTTTCAGCAGCAAAAGGGAGAAAATTACAAACAAAGGAGAGCTAACAACATTAAAAGAAGAGAGAAATGAAGGAGGAGAACTGCATCAAATAAGACCGAGACTAAAAAGAGAATGCTGCTACTCATTCTTGCTGCTTAACGATCAGTGCAGTCATTTTCATTGCCTTAAAGTAATGCTAAAGGTTCTTTGCCACAGTTTTCCTGTTGGTTGTCCCTCTTGTTATGGTTTCAGCGTACCCAACCGGAAGGGCCAGGATGTTGAGGTCAGACCTTCGCCTCCAGCATTTCCAAAAAAAGTTTGTGCATGGGGACTTTGCCTTCCAATTTAATATTGTAGAAATGCTGCACAGCCTTGGTGGAGGTTTGCCTAAGCAACGGCAGAGTCATCAGCATCTTGCCGGCCCGGCGTGGGTCTTCCATGTGCTGCCCAGCTTCATAATCCTGCAGTGCCTCATGTAAGACATCTTGAAGTTTCTGGACAGCTTCAACGTCTTCTATGTGCATAGAGTCTGTAAAACAAACAAGAGTGATAGCAATTGTTCATGCCAGAAAGGAGGATTACAATCCCAGAGCTCCCTTCTACAACTTGAATTATACCAAAAAAAAACCCAAACAAAACAAAAACAGTAATTTACATGGATTTAAGTAGCATTTTCTGGATTCCCTTAAGTATGCAAATTAAATGACCCACGTGTTATCATGTGGATCTCTGGTGTAGTTACAATCATAAGATTATTGCCTCTCAATACATCTTGTTTATATAACTTAGAAGATAACTTTGATACCTGCAGGAGTATTTTCAGAAAGTATTTCACAGAAATGCAGAAAGCTCAGAACATGCTGACGCAGCAGGACAGTCTTCCAGAAGTACATTCTCCATAAATTTTAAGTGGAGTTCCCATGATAGCTGGGAATTCTGGGAGTTGCAATCCAGCATGCCTGGAGAAAACTTGGCTTGGGGATACTATATAAAAGCCTCATTTCTGAAAGTATAGGAAGTCTCGGAGACACCAAAATCCATCGGGGAGAATTTTGCTCGGAGACAGAAAAAATTTTAAAAACCGAATTTTAAATTAGCAACAAACATTTCCATAGCCCAGGCACGTGGGATGCTTATAGAACCTACAAACATTTTCAGAGACCACAACTGGGAAAAACCTCTGCCTGAAATCCGGGTATAATGCTGTTTATCCCAGTAGCAGATGAAACAATGTCTGAATTAATGCAAAGTACTTTCTGATGCAGAACTCACATTATTCGACCACATGACTTTTGTATCTTACAGAGATTGGGCAGTCCACCTGATCTGTTGCTAGCAATGCACGCTGCATACATAAATGTTACCTCCCTAACATTTTTTAAAGTCTTGTTCTTTCCTATAACACTTAGGCAGGGCACAGGAAACTGCAATCAAGTGATCTTAAAATTTTTGTGGAACCTAGATCTAAAACCCACATCCCTTGTGGCCATATTAAAAATTATGTGATCAAAATGACTTCATTAGAGGTTTTTAATAGAATTAAGGAATTAAGAATTAAATTATTACACATAATAGAGTCCTATGGGGATTCTGCACATTTATTAATTAATTTGTAACCATTACTTTTAAATTTTAAAAAGATATTTAACAATTTAATGTTAAAATTTCCCATCCAGAACACTAAAGCAAAAGACTACAATTAGGATGAGCTCTCTTACATATTAGAAACTCCTGGGAAGCAGGGGATAAATCAATATTTCTTACAACACAGGGAATGTTATTTAACTTCTCCATAAATGATCTTGAGTTAGGAGGTCAGTGGTGAAGTAGCTAAGTTTGCTGATGGCATCAAAATACTCAGGATGGATTAGAAATCAGAAAAGCTTACACAAAGTAATGTCTAAACTTGGTGAACAGGCAGCAAAATGGCAATTGAGGATAAAATGATGACCATGAGTTTAAATAAAAAGATTAAATGTGTAGGAAAAACTGATAAAGTAGAATTGGAGATTATCACATACCAATTCTCACCTAATTTGAATAATTAATAAATACATTTATTAATGACCTGGAGGTGAAAAAGGTAGGATGAATGTTTATTGAATTTGCAGATGAATTTGATAGCCTAAATGACAACCACCACCCCCTTCTAAGTCTATGAATTTCTAGAGAACTTCATGGAATTAATTCATGGAATTTGCTGCTAGAAGTGATAATGGGATTTTTTAAAAAATTGATTCAATGATCAAATCATGATAATCATACTGAATCTTTATAGTATATCAAGATGTCACTAAATATCAATTCCTGGATACAACTGGGACAGTGATACAACAACTGGCTACTATGAAAAATATAATGCTGGGCTCATCTGACCTAACAAGTGACTTCAAGTGGGATAAGGCAGCTTTTCCCAAGCAATTTACTGTACTAGCTGTGTGTTATGAGAATAGTAGTCCAAAGAGCATCAGCGTGGTGTAGTGGTTAAGGTACTCTGTCCATCTGCAGGACCCATCCATCTTGCGTCATCATCCAGCCCACTTCAGCCCCAGACTGCCTCAGTAACTTAAGTGTTCCATGGAAATCCTTCTCACATCCAACACCAAATATGTATGAGACAGCTGGAGTATATTGCCACTAGAGGTGTTCCAAATATTTAAGCTTTAAGCCATACCATGGAATGGGAATCCACAGAATACCTTCCTGAGCTGAATGCTTGGGATAGACAGATTCTGTGGAGAAGACAATCACCAATCAGCGACAATGGACTTAAGCCATTAGAGCTTTATCAGTCATAACCAGCACTTTGAATTGGGCCCAGAAATTTATAGGTAGTCAATGCAGAGCCTGCAGCACTGATGTAAATCCTTCTAAAATGGTTCTCATGCATCAGCAAGCAAACTGACACATTCTGCACTAACAGAAATTTCTGAGTCATCTTCAAATGCAGCCACAAGTAGAATACATTGCAATAATCAAATCTGGAGCTAATGAGGACCTGAATTACTATTGCCAAGGCCCTTTGCACCAAAAATGGCCACAATGGACATATAAGAAAAAGCAGGGCAAAGGCTCTGATTTCACCTACGGTACTAGGAGAAGCCATGTATCCAGACGAAACCCCAGATTGTGGGCCTGCTCCTTCAGGGGATGTTTAACCATATCTAGAGCTAATATTCATGCTAACAATCAAGCAGAAAGTTTCTCAAAAAATTGTATCTTTGGCTTCTTGGGATTCAATATGAATTGGTTTTGTCCCATTCAATCCCTTACAGTCTCCAAGCACCAGGTAAGAACATCTCCAGCATCTCCAGTTACAGGTACAACTGGGTATGATACCTGATCATGAACTGTTGAATAATCTCTCCCAGTGGTTTAGATGCTAAAGACTGTGGGGGTGGGGGAAGATGAAGTTGCCAAGGGCTTGAATGCTTTTCCTCTATGACCACCAAGTGTCATTTGCACAGAATATAATGGAACCTCCCATCCCCAAACCTCACAGGTAGTCCAGAAGGATGCCATGGTTGATACTACTGAATATCACTGAAAACTCTAGTAGGACCTGGAGGGACACACTTCCCACACCCAGGTCTCAAAAAAGGTTATCCATCAAAGAGACCAATGCTGTTTCTACCCATAATCATGTCTGAAGCCTGACTGAAATGAGTTGAGATACTTTGCTTCATTCAAAGGAAGTTAGATAGAAAGTCCAATGTAGTCAGATGCAAGCTTTCTTAACCCCAGAAGAGTTGATTTCGGAGCCATTTGGGATTAAATCATAACTGATTACCCAAACAATTATTTACATTCAAAAACTGTATATGTACACATGTGCAAACAGGCTGCATCTCATGAATCACAGAAAATTCAGTATAATTGACAATGATCCTTTTCTTGACTGCCTATTCTGGTTCGATTGAAATAAACTGTCCTGTTCTGTTCTAATGACATCACCCAAGCAAGCACAGAAGCAAGGACCAGCAAAAGATCATGGTCGTATCACAGAGGCAGTAGCAGTTCAGTCTAAAAACTAAAAAGCAAAGGCAGGAACCGGAGACAGTGTAAATACCACAAATGAAAATAGGGCAGAAATTAGGCAACAGTAGCAGACCATGAGTAACCAGCATAAATCAAAGGTCCAAGAGTTTAGTCATGAAGAAGTTTAAAATCATGAGCTAGGCAATTAGGAACTGTCAGGATTGCTATAGCTGCAGTTCAACATAGGTCTGTTCCCAGCTAAAAACTTTTGCCTCCAGAACCTCCTCCTAGCACCAGTTGATGTTTATCAAGACCTATTCAAAATTTGCTTGAAGCATTATTCCTGAGAAGATTTTTCTATATCTCCTGTGTATCTCAGCTTTATGGCTTAGCATTCTCAGAGGTGGCTTTGAAACTCTGGGAATTGAATGGTTCTATCATGCTTTCTCTTGTTCCTGAATTTGTTCTTGTAGTTATGCCTCAAATGTATACATGGAAGGACTGGGAGGTCCTGGAAGTTTCTGCAAAAATTTCTTCAATATGCAAATGACACCTGGCCTTTAATTTCCATCTATTCGTCTAAGGATGACTAGAATGCTTGAACTTGTGAGATAAATTGTGGGTGAGATAAATGAGACTTACACTAAAACTTGATTCAGAAGATGAAATTATGGATTGGGATAAAGGGGGAAAAAAGGCTTACAACTGGTCCTGACTGAATTATCCAGAGAAACCAAGAATGCAGTTGGGAGCTCTTCTGAATTTGATGCACACTGGCAAGCTCAAATGGTAAAGGTGGCCAAAATAATTTTTAGTATAGGCTGATATGCTAATTGAAATATTTTGTGGTGAGAACACTTCCATACTGTAGCATCATCCATGTTTAAAAGTATTTTGAAGCAGAGTGATTTCTTTCAGAAGACTTACTGAATTGCGAACAGAAATTTAAACGAAATATCAGTTTGATTAGATTGTTCTCCATTTTGGAATTTGTTAGTGTCATTGCTGCCTCCTTTGAATTCTATTTCCATGCAAGGATTTGCTTGCTTATTTATTTCATTTACGTCCTACATTTCTCTGAGAGCCGAAGGAATCGTACATGGGGATTTTCTTTCACAATCCTCTAAGGTCAGCTCAGTTGCAAGAATGTGACTGGCCCAAAGTCAACCAGTTAACTTCAGGGTTGTATTCACTGATATCTTAACCACTATCTCTTACAAGCGATGATGGATTTACAAGAGCAGTGTACACTCTATTATAGTGGCCAGTATTGTTAACAACTCTCACTGTGGCCCATCACAATTATCCTTTGAACTTTGTCTCAGAGGACTGAAAGAAGTGGAACTTTCAGCAAAGCAGCTGAAGAAAGAAGTCTCTGGTACATATGAGGAGAGCTATAAGATAATCATGGACCAGAAATTCTAGGGCTTCTACCCAAGTAATCTACTCACATGAGAGTTGTCAATAGAATCTGCTACTTGCTATATCTGGGTAGAATCATTAGAAAGTCTGCTGTATGTGTGTCCACGGTTGTAGTAACATAAGGAGAAAAAGAGCATCTTCCCAGAGCCTGAATCTAAGCAGCCTATCTCTAGAGCAGTGTTTCTCAACCTGAGCAACTTTAAGATGTTTGGACTTCAACTCCTAGAACTCCCCAGGCAGCATAGAGAGCTACTCCATGCCTTTTTTAGTTCAGTGCCACTAGTGAGTCTCTTCAAGTCAGCCTGTGTTATAACTGCCAACCCCTGTCTCCAGATCCCCCCCCCCCCCCAATTTTGTTCTTTTTTTTTTTTTTTCCTCCCCTCATCCCACTAAAATACATAAAGAGATCGGACCAAATTCAAATTTTTTTTTTTTTTTCCTCCCCTCATCCCACTAAAATACATAAAGAGATCGGACC